CCCCAAAACCCCAAAACCCCGTATGTCTATTACTGTTAATAGTAATTAAAAGATACTTTTAATAGTACATAAGATTCAAATAATTGGTATAATTTTAAAATCAAGAGCAATGAACTATCAATATGATTCAACTACTAATCTGAATACATCTTATTAAGCAACAACATCAAATTTTGCTTTAGAGCAATACTAATAACCGGGGAGCATCATTGCTTCTACATTTCAGTAGTATAGTACCACAGGTTAAGGGATTAGCTCTGAATATCCGCAGACATATAATCAGTAGGCAATTTATTAAATTGGCAATTCTACTGTCGCAGCTCTTGGTGCTAATTATTCACTTGGTAGCTAAGTAATGAGCATCAACTACGAATTAGGCTACCAAAACACATCAGTCGGTGACCAATCATTAGTAAATTCTAAAGAACTGTAAGGTGAAATTATTTAAATCAATACTCTTTAACAACCAAGCAATTCAGCATAATAAGAAACTAATTAACTTACAGAGAAATAAAAACGAGCTCTCCGAAAGTAAAGGTTCAATTTAAGTAAAGACTAAATTAACATAAATATGACTACTATTGATGCTTAGGGACTATTAGCTGAAGAGAGGGAGAAAAGACTCCTTAGAGCATAAAAATTTGGTATAGATGATAAAGAGACAGAGAAATAAAAATGAAAGGAAAGAGCTATAAAGTTTGGACTGCAGGCAAACAATAATAAAAGCAAACGAAGTCTGATAGTAAATGCCAATGTGATCAATAATAGAAGGATAGTTGTAAATGATGTGAATCAAAGAAATTAAGATTTGCTCCAAAAGAGGAAAGAGAGATTCGGCATAGTTGATTAAAGAGCCTCTGATAAGTTGAAGAAGTAGCAAAGGAAGGAAAGGTTCCAGAGGGAATCTTAAAACTCAAAATCAGGAATATAGTATAATAGAACTGTAACTCAAAATCAATGATACTGCGATTTTAAAATAAGTAATTAAAATAATACATTAGGGAATTTTAATACTTTTTGGCATTATTTTGTAAATTTATCAAAAAATTAAATTTACTAGTTAGGGGTTTTGGGGTTTTGGGGTTTTGGGG